CTGACACCAGGGGCTGGAGTGGAAAGCAGGTGTTGTGAAAATGAAGTCAACATATGTACTAATGTGCTGGACACAAATGATGCATGTACGGATTGTGATGAGTTGTATGAGCCCCTAATAAAATGATTATTTAAAAAAAACAAACCCTCATTTCAAAAGAAGAAGCAAAAGAGGAAGGAGTAAAGAATATATAAAACAAATAGGGGAAAGAAGACAGTGAGACCTATATCCTGATATGTAAGTGGCAGAGTGTCAATTAAGGTTAAGGAAGACCCATCTACAGTCCGTTTACAAGAAACTGTCCTTCATCAGACAATGTAAGACTTGACAAAATAATAATAATTTATAAATTATTGAGGGTGAGTGAGGGAAGGGGATGGGGAGGGAGGGGAAAAATGAGGAGCTGACCCCAAGGACTCAAGTAGAAGAAATGTTTTGAGAATTATGATGGCAACAAATGTACAAATGTGCTTGACACAATGGATGTATATATGCTTTGTGACAAGAGTTGTATGAGTCCCCAATAAAGTGATTTAAATAATTAAAAAAAAGAAGATTCGAAAGTTTATTTGTATGTGTTTGGGAAAGGAGAAAGGTGGCTCCCTCTTCCAAATGCTGGTCTCTCCATCTCTTTGTTCTCACAGGACATATATACAAGGGGTACACCTCCAAAACTGGCATTTTTTTCAAAACTATGTATTTAAATATTTTTACAAAACAACTTTATCACTTTCACAGTATTTTCCATTACACTTAATATATTTGTCAAATCTGTGATTCCATTCTTGGAAACATTTTCCAGACTCATTTGTTTGGATGGTTAACAGCACCTTTCTGGTTTTTTCCCCCCTCATCTCTTCTATGTAGTCAAATCGCTGTCCTTTCAAGTCCCTCTGCATTTGCAGAAACGAAAAGAAGTTGCACAGAGCAGGGTCAAGTGAGTAAGGTGTGTGGGGCAAGAAAGGCATGCTGTGTTTTGCCCAAAACTGGTGCACTGAGAAGGCTACATGAACAGGTGCACTGTCGTGGTGGCAAAACCAGTCCCGCGTCTGCCACCATTCAGGCCTTTTGTGTCACACACTGTTTGCAATCTTTTCAAAACCTCTAAATAGAAAGCTTGATTAACAGTCTGAACTGGTGGAACGAACAAGTTGACATTTTCGTCAGTTTTTTTTTTTTTGGATTGAATCTTTTTATTTGCAAAACCTTTTTTCTTTAAGCACTTAATCTATTTTATTGAGTCAGGTGGCCAAATAAGGCAGCCCCTGCTCGGTTTAGAAAGGCATGTTGTCAGAAATGAAATACATAACCACATTGTAAGATCCCCACCACATGAGCCTGACTGCAGGCTCCAGGGACAGGGGCTACATCTTAATGTTTAGTAGCACCTCAACTTGCACATAGGAGCTCTGAAATGACGATTATTGAGCTTATCTCCATTAGTTAAGAACATGGCACTAAATCCCTTTTCTCTCTCTCCTGACTACTCCACTTCCCCTTTTTCCTCCTCTTCCGACCCTTCACTTATTTGATGAACACAGACAAGGGATAGCCCAGGAAGATTCCACTGTGGGTAAAAGAAGTGGGTTTTATGACCGCAGCTTTTCAAACATTAAAAAAATGAAACAAAACAAAACAAAAAACCTCTTTAAGCGGAATATACTTAGGGGAGGCAAGAAAGCTTGGGGCCTAAGACATGGCTTTGCCCTGGTTAGATATCCTTCCTCTTCCTGCTGTTGGGGCCACAGTGCTGGGCTGTAGGAAGTCGAGCTTAGACAGCTCCGTTGGCTGCGCTAATGGAGGCCCGGTGGGAGCTACTGAAGTGGCTTGGTTCCCACTGTCAGCTCAAGTGGACGCTCCGTTCTAGCCCGATGGCCTGGTCTGCCCTCCGTTTGCTCAGCCCATGGAGAGTCTGTGCTTCTGTGAGGCAGGAGGGCCAGGCATGCACGTGAGGGAATAACAAGAAGGACTTGGAGTCAGAGAGGACGGATTCTGAGTCCAGGGTTTGCAACTGGATGAGCTGTGGGATTCAGAAAAGTTCCTTTGCTACTTTAGCCCCCGTTTCTTATTTGTAAAATGGGAAAACCAAATTCCCCGGGGCTACTGGGAAAATTAGATCCCATGAGATGATTTCTGTGAAAGCGCCTTGCAAAGCTCCTGGCTCTTCGGGGTGGACATCTCCGCATGCGAGGAGAAGAGTGGCTGGGGCGAGGAACCAGCCAGCATTTCTTCAGATCACTCAAGTGTTTGAATCGTGGGATGGCATCATCTGGGTGGCCTGGGACATGTCTCCTTCCTTTCTGAGCCTCAATTTCCCCTCAAAAGGGCTTTCTAGCCACAAAAGGGAAAGAGACTCCCGTTAACTTGAGGTTAAAAAGCAGAGTACATCACTTTCTGCAACAAAAGGATTTGTTATTACCTTGCTTCTGAGAGGCCACCAATTGTAAGATGCACAATTGATCTAAAAATGACATCAACAGACCTATTAATTATAGGATACATCCTCATTTCAGGAGCATGCTGGCTGGCTCCCTCTTTTTATACAGCTATTATGTGCCAAGCAAAGGAGCCCCCGGCACTCAATGATTAAGTGCTGCTAACTCAAAGGTCAGTGGTTCAATCCCACCAGCTGCTGCCTGGAAGAAAAGCCCTGTGATGTGTTCCTGTAAAGGCTGTTACTGCTGCTGACTGTGGTCAAACTGCTTCTGACTCAGACCCAGGCAGAACCGTCCCATGGGGCTCCTTTACTTGGCACACAAAACCTGCACCTTTACCGATGCTGCCTGCCACATCTTCCTCCCCTGTAGCTGCTGGTGGGGTCATACCACTGACCTTTGGGTTAGCGATGGAACACTGAACCACTGCGTTGCCAGGGCTTCTCCCATAAAGATTAGACAACTCTACAGGGCAGCCCTACTCTGTTCGATAGCGTTGATATGAGTCAGTATTGACGGCCCTTAACTACAGGTATCAAACGCTAGGAGAGGTCTGTTACTATGTCTCTGAAGGGCTAGGAAACGGATCACTTTTCCCAGGCCACACAAGAAGGAAGAGGGTCTTCCTGTTTTCAAATTGTTTTTCCCTGTCAGTAGATGGCTTTCCAGGCTAAAGAGTCAGAGATCAGCTCCATACAGAGAAATGGTGTGTGAAGCTTGTGTGGTGCATTCAATATTCCTTGAATCTCCGCAAGGTGACCTGGAAGGACACAGGTGACAAATAGAACGGATGTCTAAAATGAGGTTTTTCCTTGATGAACATTTCACCTTTTTTGAAATGAGGAAACCACTCACACACATGAATTTTTCCCATGGCACTGTCCTTGTAAACTGTGTTCAACTTCACAACAGTTTCTGCAGCAGGAAACAAAATTTCACAGTTACACTCTGTTCTCTTAAATTGGCCATCACAAAAAATGAAGTTTGAGTGAAACTGCTTTTATAAAAAAATTCACTGTGACCAGAGAGAACCTTCCCAGGTGACACCACTGGGTGTACTAACTCAGAGGTAGTTGCTTGATGCTCGCTTAGCGGGAAACATGTGTACCATGAATACTTTGTGCTCTGTCCAGTGCAATTGTTTTTGTTGGGTACCCCTTGTCTACATGGGCTGAGTGAAACCTTTATTTTTTGTTTGCTTGTTTTAAAGAAAGGCACAGATCTTGGGATGACATGCACAAATGGAGTAAACAAAATTTTGTTTTAACAAAGATCTTACTTACAGTGCTTCTATCAAGGACTCTAAATTTCAAGGAAACAGCCCAATTTTTTCTGGTTTTAACGAGCAGGGAGAGAAAAATGTATAATAACCAAATCAGAACTCAATCACAGGATACGCTGTGGGACATGTTGGGGG